ATTATATTATATAATTATGTACACATACATATGTATATACATATACGTATATTGTTTCAATATTTTTTTTATTAAAAAAAATTAATTTTTTCAAGAAAACTTATATTTTCTATTAATCTTGAATGTATATACTTTCTTATCACATAAGTTAATTTTATATTATGCGATATTATATTATAATAGTAATGTTGATAAAATTTTCTTAATGCCAATATGTACATTTTTTAAGATTCTAAAATAATTTGATGTAAAATAGTTGCAGATCTTAATATACCGTAAATAATGTAAATATATAGATATTAAATATGTATTAAATTAACTTCAATGAATAAATTTTATTAGCAAAATATGACCAAAAAAAACAGAGTTAAATTTCCCCATTCGGTTCGATTTATCTTTTTCAAGAAGACAAATTGTTTGATTCATATTTATATACAATAGAAATATATATGATAACTCTAACATTTAAAATTAGTTATCATATAAAAAAATATAAGCTTTATTCATTACAATGAGGCTGTTTGTCGAACAATATACATTGTAACTTTAATCTAAATGTAAATGATTATCATAAAAATAGTAATATTACGAATACATGGAAATAAATATTGCTAGTTATACATGATTGAATTAAATTTTGAAGTAAATCTGAAAATGCTTATCTAAATACGAAATTAGCGAATTACAGATTTATACTTGAATAATATTTCATTAATAATCTGTTTATGTATTTGATATCATTTACATGTTGCATTTATTTTTCAACTATATATTATGTATCTATGAAAAATATGTATATACGAAGAGAAAATAACAGTAAAAATATGTATAATTACATATCTGCCAAAGCCAAAATTAAAGTATAAAGAGTATTCCATTTTGCTCTCATATTTCACAGCAAATGTTTTATGTATAGATTTTTATGAACATTTCTATGTATTTAAAAATTCTGAAATGTACATTCATAATAAAACTGATGAAATCATGATTCAATAATTCCGCACACATAAACTCATTAAATGACAATAAAAATATAAAAACAATGCATATTTATAGATATTAAAAATATATATATCTTAATAATACTTATGATGAATGTCAAAGCTGATATTTCTTAATCTTGAATACTTGTAGAAAGAAGAGAAAGAAGAGAGAATATAGAAAATAAATCTAAAATATAAAAAAATTCTTTTATCTTTGTATAAAATTTTAATTATTATGTACGCTTTTATAACTTTATTCTGTTAAATAATGGTTTACTACAAAAATTATTTCTGTCAATTGTAATTACTTCCTTACACTTGATGAATTTAATATGTACAACAAAATTGCACACATATAATTATCTAATACAAATTCTAAATATTTTTCACAGCCAAATTGTGAAAATATAATCTGCAAGATGATAATATGTTGTATCTCGCATATATTATATATATATATATATATATATATATATTTATATATAGTTGTATCATTAATATATCTACTTCCAAAAAATAGGAATTATACACATAAAAAAATTGTTAGTACATTTAACTCAACAATGCCGTACTTATATACAATATCTACATACACGAGTACAAATTCATATGTACTTTTATGTACTGTAATGCATTTTCTAATAACACACTGATTCTTTGTTAATGTTACATAGCTTTCTGTTCAATATCTGTCAATGATACATTTGAATGAATACTATTATCTCGTATGGCTCCACAAATCTTATCATTGACACTGCATGTATTTTCGTTTAAAGAATCTTGACTGAAGCAGATATCTCCAGTTTCTGACTCTATCGAACTGTCGATTTTTGATGTTTGATTAAAACTTGTATTTGTCTCAAAGGTTGTATCTTCAGGACATTTATTTCTACTCTCTTGACTGCACTGTGAATCGTCCAAGTTCGTATCCTTTGAAAGTTGGCTTTCAGATTTGTCTAACAAATACTCAGTATCAACCAGTTTTGAACTAGACAGAGATTCACTCTCAGGTCCTTCACCTTTACTTATATCTCTTGAGTCGTCTAATTTTTTGACTAGATTTCTCCAGGGATCTTCCAAAAAGGAATTCACATCTACATACGCTGATATATTCACCTGCCTGTGCGCTCCTTTGTAGTCCTAAAGAAAGATGTAAAACAAAGTAGAGTAACTTGTAGTTTTTAATACCAATCATTAAATCCTCCTATGCAACATAGAACTTAGAGGAGTCTTTATCTTTCGACACATCTCAGTCAAGCCATTTACCTTTCTTATCTGTCCTTGAAACTGTTTAGGAGAATGCTTGTAGGCAGGGTTCCTCTTGTTCGATCTTGGCGTGGCGTGATAGTTACCTCTATAATTGTTATACCATCCACTGCTTGGACTGCCGCATCCACCGGAAGGGTTGTACCGATTAGCTGTATTATACTTGTCGTGCCGCGTCAGCGGTGTGCTGATGTTTAGAGGGATAAAATCGTCGTCGTGGGACTGCGATCCTGTATTGTTTGCGTAGAAACGCGGATAGCTGTTACCCTCCGCGAGCTGATAACCTCTACCGCACGCGTTCTCGTGCGACTTCCAATTGTACGGCGTGTGCCTGGCACCATACGGCCGGCTACCATGCGCAGCATTGTTCAACGGCGATCTCTTCATTTTTCCAGAAAAACGAACGCGATTATCTCCACAATACTATGTAATATACACCAATATACACTACGTTCACGATAGCTCACGGGTTTCACCAACAATGGACCGAATGGACCAATAGCATCGACATCTAGAATGGACCGCTGATGGCAATGGTGGGGGTAGAAAGACGATTAGAGTGAGAGGCAGGAATAATAAGATCGTTCTTTCTCTGTTTACTGAAGCCTGATTGGTTGTTGTTAATCCAACAACCAATCAGACTAGTTAGAAACAACAGTAAACAGAGAAAGAACGATCTTATTATTCCTGCCTCTCACTCTAATCGTCTTTCTATCCCCACCATTGTCATCAGCGGTCCATTCTAGATGTCGATGACCAATAGGCAATACGACATATGTGTATGTAAAATGCATTCACTGACGTAAATAAAATACAGCTCAATGAAAACTCGCGCGCTCTCTCTCTCTCTCTCTCTCTCTCTCTCTCTCTCTCTC